TATTAATACCAATTCAAGCATAAACTGGCGATTAAGAAAATATTTCTAGTATAAGAATAATTTGCACAAGCAACACTCTTTATATTTTCCACATGAACATGCATGAAGGACCATTGATATAATATTAAATGCGTTTATATATAGCAAGTGTATCTTAGCTGATAAGTATATATAGATATCAGTACCGTTGTACGGCGGGGGGGGGGGGGGGGAGGAGGGGGGGTCTGGTAGGAATTATTTTTTAAATACATGTACATATGTAATTGTAATCGGCATCTTAGAATAATAAAAACTCTTCTTCACTATGAATATTGTATTTTGATACTTTTTCTCGCTCATTTGTTACAATATCGCGTAAATATTGAGGTACTCTCGATGTGAATTTGAACATAGTACTCATTTTTACGATATAGCGTCTGGTTTTTAAAATATTTTTTCTATATATAGACTCAAAAGAAGTCCTGCAACAATTTCTACCTGCAGATGGCTGTACTTTTTCAAGCTTTTTTGTCCCCCGCTTTCGCGAAAGCGAGGGGACATTAAAAATCATTTTTGGGCGCCTGTCACAAAAACTTTAACCTTGGTCATAACTTTTGAATGAGAAGAGATTGGGCTTTCATATTTCACATGTACATTATCTGTGACGAGACCTTTCCAAATATACTATGATTTTTGACCCTGTGACCTTGACCTTCAAGTTTGACATACTTTTCGAAAATTTTATCATTACTTTAAATTGGTCATAACTTTTAAAAGAGAAAAGATAGGGCTTTTATATTACACATGTATATAACCTGTGGCAAGACCTTTCTACATATACTATGATTTTTGACCCTGTGACATTGACCTTAAAGTTTGACCCACTTTTCAAAAATGTTATCTTTCCTTATAACTTTTGATTGAGAAGAGATGGGGCTTTCATATTTGATATGTGCATTACTTGTGACAAGATGTCTCCGAGCATGCTATGCTTTTTGACCCCTTGACCTTGACTTCATGTTTGACCTAATTTTCAAATAAAAAAATTCACTTTGGTGATTACTTTTGAATATGATATGATACGGCGTTCATATTTGACACAATATGCCATAAATAATGGCTTTGAACAATCCACTAAAACATCGAAAAGCGGGGGACCACAGTTCTTCGAATTTGCTTGTTAGCTTCGTGTTTTGAGAAGCCATTCCAAACAATTGAAGTGTATTCAGGCATAAGGCTGATAAATATGTAGTGTACAATATTGAAAGGTTGTTCCAAACAAATTTAAACGTAAGTTTTTCAACAGCCCAAGTTTTATCAGAACTATTAATAATACCATCAATATATTTAGGCCAGCAAAGATGTTGAGACAATAGCACACTCGTATGTCGTCTAAAAATAATTTGGGCATAACAGAAATATTTTTCTCCTTGAAAAAAGTTACCTTTGTTTTAGATTGGTTAGTATGAAGATTGTTGTCATCACCAAGCAATTGCCTCATTGATGACATATTTACAACAACATTTACATATATCAGGAATAAAAATGGACCTATAACAGAACCTTGGGATATACCTGCAAATATAGTTTTGATAATTACATATCCTTATACATGTACATTACTTTTTGTGAACTATGACATAAAAATAACTAGAAAACCACTGGAGAAAAACACCAGATATATACCTAAGTTTGTAATTGAAGAATGAGAACTGTCAAAAGTATTTGAAAAATCAAAAGAACCGCGTGCAACATCATTTACCTTCGTCGATGATTTGAACAATATTATGATATACTTCGCTAGTGATTGATACTCAGAAAAATGACAGGGTAGGAAACCAGCTTGATATCTATATTGAAAATAAATCATTACTTTGAAAATAATTTTACATGTTTTAAAAAATATTCTCTTCATAATTTTTACTAACACAAGGTATCATCGACATACGTCTATAATTAGAAATCATAAAGGATCGTCTTATTTTAAAAAGAGGAATAACATATAAAGTTTTCCAAAAAAATTCTAATCAGGAGCTGTTAAATAACATAGTAAGTGGTTGATAATACCAGGCAATAGAAAATGTGTCACTACACAGATGTTTTATTTCAATCGTCTATGAAAGAAATAGATGAAAAATATCTAACTTTAATGTTTCAATCTTGGCGAAGTTGGAATGTTAAAATACCATATTATATTAAAAGATTTAGAATCAAGTACCACAATTAAACAATAAATTGCACTTTTATCAGTTTTAAGAGAGGAAAAAGAGTTATATTTCAAAAAGGTATACTTATGGAAAAATAATCTTTATAATCTTTATAATCTTTATAAATGCAGCTATTTTAACAATTTGTAAATGTTAACAAATTATTTATTTGTGTAATACAGTGTACAGTGTACATGTATATATTTTTTGCCACTAAATCTTAAGTTGCATTTTTCATATTTATCTATTTATTTATTCATTCATTTTTATAACTTATTCATTACCTTTATTTTATTTTTATTTATTTATTTATTTATTTTTTTTTTTTGACTCTTAAGCTTTATACCCAGTGGACAGTTCCTTTATTTGATATAAAAGTTTTTAAGTCCGTCTTTCTGCGGAAGTGTATATTTCATTAATGGCACCAGCGGCATGTTGTAAAACATAGTGAGGCAAATTCTTATGTTAATTTTGCGTCTATTTCTGTCCAAAGCGCATAAAGAATAAAATTATATCAGCTCTTTTAAAAATTTACTACACATTGACCGTAACTAGGTACAATTTTTTAGTGAGGTAAGGGGTCTGGGGACAGCTCAGTTCCCTTGTGGGTCCAGGGCGACGCCCTAATTGGAGCCCGAAGGAGAGGGCAAAGTCCCGCGGACTTCGCCCGGAAGATTATAGGTTTTATCAAACTGAAGACTTAAGTTTTCACTTGCTAATTAATAAATTGAAAGCTAATGTTCATACTCAATTTGTAATTGAGTCATGCGTCCTTGCAATTTATTAGGCCCGGATAAATTAATTCAGCGCTTTTTTTGCTTGTACTAGTATTTTCTCCATTTTAGTAACAAAAGTGATTTCTTTAATCAATGAATCGTTGTCTTAATTTCAGAAAATTTCCTGGGGATAATTGGCTGGTACCTATGTTGAAAATAAAAGAGATAATAAGAGATCAAAATTGATACTTTTTTCACGATTTAATTTTTTCAATGTCCATGCAAATTTTTATTAGTATATAGAGGATCTTTAAGATTAGATTATAGAAACATGTGTGACTGACATTTGGAATGGAATTTTATTCTGCATGTCAAGGCATGGCGTTTGAACCAATTAGACAAACAGCAATCTAACCAAGTGTTTTTTTTTTTAAAGTGGTGTTAAGAGATTAAGAAATTATAGCAAGAATGCCAAGAAAAAATGTGTTCAATTTCATGGGCTTTCTTATAGATATAACACCCCTCCTCCAACACAAACACAAAAAAACCCAAACACTGCAATCCATATACAATGGATAAATGACGATAGGATTTTATAATTTTGAAAGTATTAACTGATTTAATTCAGTACAATGACACAAATAATTCAACGTAGTACTTTTTACATAAAAACAAAAAACAAAAAACAAACAAACAAACAAACAAACAAAAACAAAAAAACCCCTCAAATTTGCCGCACTTGCCAAAATGGTTGTTACGGCATTTCTTGAAAGTTTGAATACATTTGGCAGGTTAGTGATCCAGTTTTTACGCTTGCTTCTGTTTCTATTGGTATGTGTATAAGAGAGGTTTGGAAGTCATCGGGTATATACGCGCAAACCGTGAGTGACTACCAAACTAGGAATCCGACCCATAATAGCCTCAGATTCAATGAATCTGAATGCATAACAGATATATATTGGCTGAATACTCAGTATAATTAGACATAATCTTTATGTTTTAGTATCAATATGTAAGAGTGGAATGTGTCCTAATTTTTGACCTTGTCCTGTCCTTGAAGAGTTACCTCCCTTTGCTTTTAATCAATAAAAATCATCTCTAAAAAATCTTTCTGGTAAAAAATTAGTTTTCAATCGTTTTTCTATTCCTAATAATTAAATACATTTTTCCACCACATCATTTTTTGATATTCTAAGTATTTAAAATTTTATTTTAAAAAATTTGCTTGTCCCCATAGACCTCCCTGCAATCTGCTTAGGTAATTATTTTTTTGAAAAATTCTCTCGGTAAATCCTTTTCTACTCTAAAATGTTTTGAATTAATATCAGAGTATTTATACAAGATGGGTATTTAAGGTTAGAAAATTAGGTTCTAATATGGGTCGGATCCTTAAAATATGCAAAATCAAATGATCCCAAAGTAATTCATGTGTCATTTTTAAATAATATGATAGAAATCGTTTAACAATCTATTCTCACTTAAATATGTGCTGAATCTGAGACAATTGTTGAGATTACCACAATTTAAAAATATCTCTGCATATTTTCTACCATTTCAAACGTTTTAGACTTAAAATCTAGTCTGAAATCTAATTTAAAATAGTCTACATGTTCAATGAACAATTCTAGTAATTTAATGTGAGAATAAACTCCATAGAAACCTTAAATGAAGGCAAATTCACAAAAAACAAGAACTCAGCAATCGCTCATCAATCCAGTATCTTTAGTTGTGAGTGCCTATCTCGTACACTGCTGGCATTAATAACAACGCCTTAAATGTAAAACCTTGCATGACCCCTGTATTAGCAGAATCCGTTATGTAAGATGATTTCTTGTCATGTTTTGTATTTCAGACACCGGGCTATATCTTAATTAATCGTCACGCTTGACGTGTTCATACGTCCGTAAAACTCTCGTTAACGTCACAAAGACGGTGAATACACATCGTTTACTGGGTCAAGTTTTCACTGTCAGGCTTATTATTTATACAGATTATGTAATTAGCCAATAAGGATGTACCATGCAAATGTAAGACGGTGACCTTATTCGTCCCGGGCTACAGACAAAGCTTGTTTCTGATTGGTCTGGGAAAAATTGAGCCATACATGTGATGGTCAACTAGTTTTACTGCGAAGAGAAAACTGAGAAAGAACAGACATGGACATTGCGACTCTTTCGTTTGTGCTCACCATAATTCATGGAGCATTTTCAACCCACCTGACAGGAAATGTAAGTTAACAATAATGTATTTTAAAACAATTTTTATCTCTTGAAAAGTATTTTTTTTTTTTTTTTTACAAAATAAATAACTTTTGTTTACTTGAAAACAATGGGGTTTTTGGTTTTGTTTTGTTTTTTCAATTTTTTATTTTTATTTTTTTTTTTAAATTTATTTTAAAATTTTCTGAGTGGTAAAAGTTAACGCTGGTGTATTTTTTATTCCAATCAAGTTTAACAGAAAAGCTGTGCTTTTTAAAGAAAGTGAATTGCTATTCATCTTATGGTAGGAAAAAAATCTGCAAATTTACTGATGGTCTAGAAAAACATCTCAATAATTGTTTGCAAATTTCATTTCGTGATTTTATAAATAGCATCACTTTTTAGACTTTATTACTATCCACGTTTCTATCCGCGTGGATAAGAGAGGATTAAGGGACAATAGTCACATAAAGCATGCTTAAACATGTTTACTTCTGGAGTTGATCGACATTTTTGAGGTTAGTTATTCAGATTGGGCAGGATTGTCCTACAAGCGTCGGTAAATGTCAATTTCTATATATCTACAGGACGATGCAGCAATGTTACCGAAGTAAAAGACTTTGGACTTAACTACTAATTTTCAGTCTGTGAAAAGTGATTTAATTAATACACGAATGTCCAATTCCACGATACAAATAACTATATTTTAAGTAATCTACAAATAATCTCTATAGATTGAGAATACTGAATTTTGTTTTAGTTGAATATGGGATTAATTTCACTCGTGAGACCGATTTTTTTCTTTATTTTTTCACTCGTCCTTTTTACTCGTGACACTATCATACAAATTCCGTCTCACCCATGAAATAAATTTCATATCGAAAAAAGCTTTTATGTTTGTATTGCATTTTCTTCGGTTTTGCGTTTGCCAGTATTAGCTTCCTGTTTATCGAAGTCAAAACAATAAAGGTCTAGAAGAATGATGCATAAGATAAAGAACTCAATAGGCTTCAACAAATAAACAACTTGAATTTCACTTTATTATTGTCATTTTAAGTTTTTAAAAAATGAAAGAATTATATTTTTATCCATGTGACACTGTTCATATGACACACACATGATGTTTCAATTGTTAAAATAATTATAATATTACACATTTGAAAATATCAAGTTTATTCAATTGATAAATCACTATATTTAACTTTTGGAAATGGAATAAAAAGTTAATTTGTACAATTGCATATACATGTACTCTCTCCCCTCTCTTCCAAAAAATTACAACACCTAGCATTTTTTGGGGATATATATTGCATGCAATCAAAGTCAGCTTGTATGTCAACATAAATCAGGGGCACAACGGCTTTGATTCATAAATATTGTAGATTCACACAACTGTATTTTGCAATTGCATTGTCACAGGAACCGAGAAATATTAGCATCGATAAATGCGTGAGAGACAGACATACTACACACATGAAATCAAACCGCTGTTCAATACTGTAGGCCTACTGTCAATCGGCCGTTAGCTTGCCTAGAGAAAAAAAAACAGGTGCGAAAATGTTTGTTTCTTCCCGTAACTCATCAAAAGAAGCATTAAATTCTGAGAGTATTTTCACATCAGTAAATTAGTCCCCTAATGGCATTGTCCAGTCTGGTTCCCCTTGGAGATCGACTGAGTCCATATGTTATCATACCGTCAATCGAAGTGAAATGAATCTCATAAAGACCATTCATATATCAAAAAATATTCTCAATAAACCAAGTAGGGCAGACGATCAGAGAGGACACCTAGACAGTCCCCACTGATTTCAGCAAGAGAGGAGACTCGTATAAGCGAGTCAATTCAAGTGGAAGTCTGCGAGAAAACCTTGCAAATTTAAAATTTTGCTATGGATTGTGTATTCTAACAATAATCTAATATCAATATATTTTTTTCTGCATTCAGTAGTTGTATTCTTTAATTAAAAATACTTCAGTCACTGTCAATGTCAACAGTACAGCCTTTAATTTGTTCGCTCTGTTTCTTCCCTGAATTTACCAAATCTTTGATATATTTATCTTTTCAATTTACATTTCCAAAATTTTATTGATGAAAAATATAGCCTTATGTAGTTTTAATGTGGACGTGTTTGAAGTATGAACTTAATAATGAAAAAAAAAAAACGGTGAAAATACTAGAAAAAAATTTACAATAGTGTTGGATCAGGTATTACTTTGAATTTTGTAAAGATATATAAAATTTATTTTTAGAATATTGACAAAATTGTGAGAGGTGTCTTCCTTAGTTATTCGGTATTTCTGAGTACTTTTTATTTAAATCGTGAGAATTCGTCATAGGCTTCATATTATTTACAAAACACTAAGCATTTTCTTTTTCGTAGAAAAGTACATCTTTAAAATTGCACATGACTTATTGTTTGACAAGCATGAATGTGATTGAACACGGGGGCGCTGCAACCAATGCATGATCAAAACACAATTATAAGGCAAAGATTACAAAGCATGGTAACATGTATATTTTAATTTAAAAAAAAATTGAAAAAAGAAGAAAACCTTGCTGTCAGGGTTCTGCATGGCTTTTTCATAGACTTTCGCTTGAGTAGGAACAACGTACATTTTTCTAGTTACGGATTAAATTAATAGCAAATATAAACTGATTTACAGATAATGGTCCTTGGCTAGAAAAAAGAAATGGCGATCGTCTATGTCAGATTCTTACAAATTTCGAAAAATGCGGGAGAGCGAGGGCGACAATGAGAGGGGGGATAAGACGTTAAGGAAGCGACAAGTGAGACAAAAAGAGTGTGATGCTTACATCGCAAAGTCGCTTTTTTCCTTCTTATACTCAATAGCGCTGTTTGCCCTCGCTTGTCTGACTCCCTCTCTCTCCATCCCCACTCCCGAAGTCACGTCTCACCCTTTCTTCCTCGCATTGTCACCCGAACTCCCGCCTCCCATCAGAGGATGTGGTCTTATCAGTAGAACATACACATACTAATCGGTATTTTTTCACTATTAAAGTATTGACCTATATTTCGTTCCAAGACCATTCTATAATAGACCGATAAATGAAATAAGTCATCAATCTATCGTCTATATTGCTGATAGAGAATTGTCAATACGTGGAATGAGTAAGACATTAGCATTCGGGGACACATTTATTGTAATGTGCAGTGAAAGTGATTCATACATACTATACAGAATCAAGCGCTGAATGAGTAATTTTTCGTGCTTTTTACAGAGCCATGCCATAAATCACGCAAGTGCGCATACATACCAATTGATTAACGCACCTGGGCTTAGCACATTTTGAGAAGTATCCATACTTCCATACTTGTGTAATTTGTAGCACAGTAGAGTGCAGCTTAGAATTATTTAATTCTTATATTTCCTTTCTTATGGAATCCGGATATGGCCAAGTAGTTCACTATCGCATTATCGCACTATCGAGGTTTGGGTCGATAGTGCGATGACGATGTAGCGATGGTGCGGTTGCGATGAAGCGATGGTGTGATAGCGCAATGACGATGATGCGATGGCGCAACAATGCGATGACGATGATACGATGAAGCGAAAGCGCGATAGCAATGACACGATAGTGCGATACGATGGCGCGATGGCAAGATGACGATGAAGTGATGTTCACTATTGCTCCATTGTGCTATTGCGCTATCGTCATTGGATTGTCGAGCCATCGCATCATCGTCTCGCGCTATTCCACAGTCGGGTCATCGTCATCGCATTTTCACGCCATCGACCCTTTAGTCGATGCTTGATGGTTATGTCCCTATTCGGATACCATACTTTCTTGATATTTCAGAAGTTGTATTATTTTTTAACGTTTTTACCATGACCTCACATTCGCTCCTCAAAAAGTTCTAAATGTAAGTGCCATTAATTTTATGTGGAATGTATCATAATAAAGAAAATTTGGACTGTAAATATTGTAATTAGTTAACATGCAAGATATCCCCTTGCGTTAGAAAAGTCTATAAAAGCGGTAAATGATCGAATAACGTCATCACACATTCATCAATTATGCAAACAAATTTCAATCAAAGTCAAAGAATTGTTGTCCCCCGCTTTCGGTGTCTTAGTGGTCGGGTTTATATTATTTATGGCAAATTGTAACTGTCTTGTTTGTATGTCCTGTCTTGTCTGTCCATCATACCAAAAAAGATATAAATTTTTGAATTAATGAAGGTTAGAGAAAAAGTTTTAATTTTTCAAAAAGCATCAAACTTCAAGATCAAGGTCATGAGGTCAAATATCTCAAAGCAACCCTAAAGATCTTGTCATAAGTAATGCACATGTGAAAAAATTGAAAGCCCTGGTCTTCTTGAGCAAAAGTTATGGTCAAAGTTAAAATACATAAGTTGGTCAAACTTCTAGGTCTAGCTGATGAAGTCAAAAACGATTATTCTTTCTGAAGGTGTTGTCATAGGTAATGTCCGTGTAAAATATGAAAATCCTATCTTCTCTCATTCAAAAGTATTTACCGACGTAACGAGCAAGATCACAGGTCAAAAACAAGAGTACATTTGGAAAGTCTTGAAACAGTAATTCACAATGCCAAAAATAAACATAATCATTCCTAATTCAAAAGTTATCAACAATGTAACAAAAATTATATTGTAAACTTAGGTCAAACTGCAAGGTCAAGGTTCTGAGGTTAAATAACATTCTACATTTGGAAAAGTCATGTGAAGGTTAATGTTTAAATTCTTGAAAATTAATACAAACTTCAACGTCAAGGTCATGGAGACAAAAATCATAGTATATTTGGAAAGGTCTTGTCACGTAATGAATATGTCAATTATGAAAGTCCTGTCTTTTGATTCAAATAATTTTTCATTCAAAATTATGACCAAGATTAAAAAGTTTAAAAGATTATAAAGTTTTTGTGATAGGCAGACTGACAGACAAATGAGATTTAACGTTCCCTCGTTCACTATATCGGGGGACAATTAATCCTAACAGAGTAACTCAGTGATCTACAAAACGTTACTTTTTTAATACTGCAAAGCCCAATCTGTATTTATTATAAAGCTGCTATCATAATTTACCTTTACAAAGTAAAATCTCTATATTCCTTTTATAATTAAAACACATTTCTATTATAATTTCTTATACAAGTAAAACACCGTATTTCTATTACGATTTCTTTTACAATTTAAGCACTATATTTATATTGCAAAATAAAATCTCTGTATCCCTATTACAATATAAAATCTATGTATTCATTTTACAGAAATTTAACTCTACACTCCTACAATGTAAAAACTCTATATTCTATTACAGGGCAAAAACTCAAAAACTCTATATTCCTATTACACTGAAAAAACTCTATAACTCTTTATTATATAGTCTATTTATAGGCCCGGAGCTAACTATGTATCTGAGCAGGAAAAACATTAGCCAAGCCTATCGCAGGATTATTTTCTAAACATTTCGATGTTTTACAAACAGCGAAAGGAAAACACGGAAGCTATAACGTAATCTGGACATTTTTTTTTATTTTTCCACGACAGAAGTTCGTTAATGAAAGTAGTATCATCATGCTGCCTTCGGTGTCTTATTCATTAAATCCTGACTATATAATAAAACAAATATGGACTCTTTCGATGGTGAATATGGTTTGTTATTCACCAGAAAAATATCAATATTGATCTCGGCTTCGCTTCGGTCAATACTGATATTTTTCTGGTGAATAACAAACCATATTCACCATCGAAATAGTGAATAATTGTATATTATATAAATAGTGCACGTTTTTGAGGGTAACAGTTGAAATTGACACCCCAAGGAAAACCATTGTCAACCGACGCGTCAGCGGAGGTTGACAATGGTTTTCCGAGGGGTGTCAATTTCAACTGTTACCCTCAAAAACGTGCACTATTTATTTTATTATACTGAATGTCTTATTGATTTCGGATGTCAAAAGAAAAATTCGGAGATCGTTGAGTTCACGCTTAGAAAGCTTTCAGACTCCCCGCTTCTATTTTTCTCAATAAGAAAGCTTCGGAAAAGATTTACCAACCTTTTTATTGTTTGTTTGCTACTCAAAAAGTCCTTTATCGTCTAAAGTTTGCATTCGCAAGGATGTTTCGTCTGTCGTTTGTTGTTTTCAAGTAAGCTACATCGGACGCAAGCTTTTATTGACGTCGTTTATTCGGCTTCTTTCAAACGCACAACTGACGCTTTGAGAATTCTACGGTGAACCGTACGCGCATGATTTGAACGCATGTGATATTTTCGTAATGTTACCCGTTGTTAAGTGTGTTGCTAACGCTGAGGGTAACATTACGGATTGTTAAATGCGTGTAAACCAATCAGATATTAGTATTTAACATGAAAGTATAATAATATTATATAGTCTATTTATAGTCCCGGAGCCAACTGTGTATCTGAGCAGGAAAAACATTAGCCAAGCCTATCGCAGGATTATTTTCTAAACATTTCGATGTTTTACAAACAGCGAAAGGAAAACACGGAAGCTATAACTTGTAATCTGGACATTTTTTTTTATTTTTCCACGACAGAAGTTCGTAAATGAAAGTAGTATCATCATGCTGCCTTCAATGTCTTATTTATTCAAATCCGGGCTATATAATAAAACAATTATGGACTCTTTCGGTGGAGAATATGGTTTGTTATTCACCAGAAAAATATCAATATTGGCGAAGCCTCGGTCAATATTGATATTTTTCTGGTGAATAACAAACCATATTCTCCACCGAAAGAGTCCATAATTGTATAATATTCCTATTACAGAGTAAAAACTCCTATAATTATCCCACTACTAATTAAAAGCTAACTATTCCTATTACAAAGTAAAAATAAATACGTCTATACAAAGCAAAAACTCTAGTCTACTACAAAGTAAAGAGCTCTATAGAATCAATTCAAAGTTAAAAACATGTATTCCCATTACAATGTAAAATTCTAAATTCTTATTACAAAGTAAAAACTTCATATTCTTATTACAAAATAAAAACTCTATATAATGATTTTTTTTTTAAAGTTGAGGAGATACTAAGTAAAGTGAGATGAAAGCCTTTCTACAGTACGAAAATTTTTTATTGACAATAGCCTTTAAGGACCGCGATGTCAATTTACCCATAATGTTCATTATTCTTATTCTAACCGTCATGTCTCATATTACCTTCGGCGTGCTAGGCTCCTTAATGCTAAAGATGTTTGCTGCAATAGTTTTTAAGACTTAACAGAACTACATAATAATCTTTGTTAGTAAAGTTTACACGTACAGTGAACCAGTCCGTAATTTTGTAATTAAAGAAAACCCAAGCACTTACTTTGAATGTCGAGACACATGGCCTTTGTGGAAAACAAAGTTTTTATAGATATCTATTACAAACTAAGTAATAAATACAGGGTTTTTTTGGCATATCCAGTGGAGCATACTTTACAATACCCTTATCAGCTTCCCGAGGCTGATACGGATCCTGCAGTGCTGATATAGTTCTAACTGCAATCGCACCCCCTTGTCGATTAAACCGTGGAAAGACACAACGATTTTAGGTCCCCTGAGTCAGGTGACCTATAGCTACCTTTTTTTTTTGCCCGTCGTCGTCCGTCGTGCATTAACATTCGAACATTTTTTTGCTTATCATGAACTACTGAACCATTTCCGACCAATATTGGCTTGTAGCATCAAAAGGTGAACGGGAACAAGATTTTTAATATTCATGGCCCCCTGGAGCCTGAAGGATGAGCTCAAACCATCAAAATTAAAGCAATTTTCAAAAGTCTTCTTCTTTACTCTTGGACATTAAGCAGTCAAACTGTTTGCATAGATATGATGATGAGAAAGAGTACCTCTTCCAAAATTGTGAAATTGGTGACCCCTGAGTCAGGGTTTCTGATTTTGCGGGAGGGGGCTCTATTGGTCATACAGTGAAAATTCATGAATTCCTTGAAAATTTTCTTTGCTCCTGTGTAATTAGAATACAATCTAAATGCATAGTTATGATGAGCGAGGGTGCCTCAAAATTGTGAAATCCAACGCCCCTTAGTAGGTGTTCCAGAGTAAATGTGGGCCTGTAAGGGTGGGACCAAACGGTAAGAATGCATTTATTTATTCTTTGAAAATCTTCTTTTCTGCTACTAAATATTAAGCAGACTAACTAAATGCAGAGTTATAATGAGCATGAGTATTTCTTTCAAAATCATGAAATTCATGGTTTCTGGATCTGGGATTTTGGTGTTAGAATGGGACTCTATTACTTATAAGGTGAAAATGGATTTAATATTTTGAAAATCTTCTGTCTCTGAGAATTCCGCAAACAATGTGTTGTGATTATAAAGAGTGATTCTTCCAAAATTGTGAAATTCATAGTCCCTGGGTCTGGAGTCTGGTGTTAGGATGGTACTCTATTGGTCGTAAGTGAAAATGATTTTTTTTTAAATCTTCTTCTCTGCTTCTTGGTACTAGTATTTAGCAGACAAACTAAGAGGATGGTTATGATAAGCAAAGGTGCCTCTTTGAAAATTGTGAAATTCATGACCACTGGGTCAAAAGTTTTGGGGTTAGGGTGATCATACACTAGAAGTGAACATACATTGATTCCTTGAACATCTTCTCTGCTCCAGAGTATTAAGCAGACAAACTAAGTGTATATGTATGGTGAGCAAAGGTGCCTCTTCCAAAATCGTGAAATAAATGGCCCCTAGATTAGGGGTCCAGGTGTTATATTTTTTAGTATTTAGCAGCCAAATTAAGTGCATGGTTATGATGAGAAAGAATGCTTCTTCCAAAATTGTGAAATACATGGACCCTTAGACACGGCCTCTGGAGTCACGCTTTATTATGATCATATATGGAATAATAACCCTGCTTTTAGGAAAGTTATCCCCTTCGTTGTTCACTTATAATAATTAATTTAAGTAATGTAATTAATAGATAAATTGAATTAAAGAATATTATACGAATATTTAATGTGTAATTTTAAAAGTACTTAATAGTTTTTAATAGTCAGGTAGACTTAATAAATAACAGATGAATGAAAATGAGACAAAATGAGAAAAAAATGTCTTATATATATGTACATAAAGTATTTTCCAAAAACCAAGAGAGACCAATATGGTGTGGCTATTGTGCTGTGCGTACTCTATGAATGTTGTGTTTTATGCAATAACACTATTGTCATGAAAGAGGAATATAAGATAAGTATCTCAAATAGCCCCTTAAAATGAATATCTTAATTTTACTTTATATAAAGCTCTAATTTGCACGGCTATACATGTGACCTTTATTGGTAATTTTCAATTTGATCAAAATGACATTAATTTAGAAATATGACATCATTAAACTCACGTTTTCCTGCCAGTTTAGTGTATTTTGTATAAAACTGCTTATTTTCAAGCAGTTTTTCTTCCAGGAAATATTGAACGCAGACTTGAACAAACTTAATATTTTTACCAAAGATGTATCTATACAAGACTAATTACCGACAGAAAAATTTTGCATGTTCGAAGCTGCGCTCTATGTTTCCCATAAGAAAATCGTCAAGAAAAAGACCATTTTTGTCTTATTTTGGTTAGATTGCAAAAATAGCATCATTTCTGACGTCATTTATAGCCTGTGAGTGCATATAAATGTAAAAAAAAAATGTATTGGAAATATTTCCAATGTAATTTCTTCTACAAAATAAAATCAATTATACATATATGAATATCATTCTAAAATGTTGATTTTAAGGGGGCCAAATTTGACTCTTATCATATATAGTTCTTTTTGGTGATAAAATAGAGTGTAGAAAGCACTGGTATACAGGCAAGTTAAATGGTAAAGTTTTCTCAAAGTTTACGCGAAACTTTGGCCAACAAGGAAAAATACATTAAGTATTCTAAGTACTTAGTATTTTTCTTTACCGAAGTATCAAATTTACAGACTAAAACACTTGCAGCAACGAAAAATTATGTTTGTGACTTTCTTTTATAATAATTTGACGATAGAAAATCTACTATTTAATTTTAGGGTGGTATGTCAGGAAGAGTTGGTTCTCTTCGTCAGTCATCAAGAGCCTCGTTTTCAAACAGGGGAAGCTCCTCAAATAGGCGGGTCCCCGTGATAAGTTCGGCGGAGCTGCGCGCCATCTATCGGGCTCGGGAAATCAGAAGACAGCAGAGACTCCTAGAACAACAGAAGCAGCTCGCACAGTTGTCTCAGCTACACAGCAACCGAGGATCCCAACAAAACTTACTATCTCAGCTCTTAACACCGCAACAACAGCAACCTCAGCCACAATCGCAACAGCAAATAGCAGTTTCCAACGATTTACTGCAAAAATTGTTGCTGACGGCAATTTTAGGAAACGATTTGAATACTGCTGCAAGTAGAGCACAGGGGCAAACACAACAGCAATCTGCAAATTCTGTATCCGGAAATAATGCTGCAGCAAAAACTGCACAAAATACTAATAATAATCCAGTTGTTATAGAAGCAAACGGAAATATCCGGCTTTCAGAGGTCAAAAAGCCAAACGGACAGACACATATTGTAATTGACACCTCTAACATGGGGGTCGCTGGTCCGTTGACTGTTACCTTAAAACCTGGTGAAGACCCTCCCGAACCGGAAATAAAACTTCCATTTGGCCACCGGAAGTGAGGTCGTTCGCTAGCCCTGGTGTTAAACGCAGAGATTACGCATTCTCAGGGATAAAGTGCCTTCGTCATTTGTCATTATGGTTTTGACGAATTTTAGACTTGGGACGCTCTCACGATGGTTGACTCTACAATTATTCTATTACTCACTAGAGTACCAAGTCTTGGGCCTTTTCTTTCAAAACATTTGCTGAATAATTTGCAATGAAATGTTTTTGATGAACACTGCTTGTTATGAATAAATATTAATATGTATTTTTTTAAGTACTTGCTCTAATGTTAACGATCTAACAGTGCTGTAACTTGAGTTTGAATTGGATGTTGAAAAAATCTTTAAAATCGATTTCTTTCCAGTTTGTTACGAATATGAAAGATATATTGGAATATTTGTATGAGTTAATTATTTTTAATGCGTTAATCTATTATATATATAATATCTTAGGGAGTCCTGTTTATAATTTAACCTGTGCAGACTATGTGTTTCTGTGTGCCCTCCATTCTATCTGTTCTACGTGAACAAGAGCTGATTTCTGTTGCATCATTAACTGAACAAATGGGTTATAATGACCATTGATTATTTGAAGAGATAGTTTGGTCAAGTTTCATCAAAAGCTCAGAAATCTGGATATTGATAACAAACAAAGATATGGCGAAACATTTCAACTCTTTAGGAAACTAAGATATAAAACTAAATTTCACGAATCGAAAACATGCTCTGACGAGACATCAACACATGCTTCGATGAAAGATTGATGTGGCTTAAGTTTTTAAAAGAATACCACCCCTAATGAATTTTGCCTGCTTTTAATTATGTTGTGCCGGTATTACTACATGTTGATTTAAGAGTTTGGTTGAATTGCAATTTTTTTTTTTCAAAATTACGTATCTTTAAAAACAAGATGCGTTTGTGTAACACTGATGCCCCCGTATGACAGCTCAAGTCCAAGATTAATGTTTTTCACTTGTAGATCAAACTCCTAGGTCAACAGTTCAAAAATGTTGGAACCCAAGGAAGCTCTTTTCACAAGGAATACAAATGTGAAATATGAAAGCCCACCAACCATTTAGAAAATACGGGCAAGTTTAAAGTTTTTTCAAAAGTAGGGCATATTCCAAGATCAAGGTCACAAGGTCCAAAATATGGGAACCAAAGGATAGATCCTGCCATAAGGAATCTTTAAGTGAAATATGAAATCTCTAGCACGAACTGTACAAAATTTATAGACAAAGTTATAGACAAGGTTAATGGGTTTTTTTTTCGATTGCACATCAAACTTCAAGGTCATGAGGTAAATGTGAGTTCCCAAAAAAGATCTTGCCAAAGGGAATCCATGTGATATATGAAAGCCCTTGCACCCGCCGTTCCAAAGTTGAACTAAAATTAAAGTCAAGTTGAGGCCAAACTCAAAGGTCAAGACCAAATGCATGGTAAAAAAATATTGGTATCAAAAAGAAAGGTCTAGCTCCTACCATTAAAAAGTTATGGCCAAGGTTAAACTTTAATTTGTAGTTTTTTAAAAGTAGGGCAAACTCCAAGGTCAAGAGGTCAAATATGTTGGTACCCAAAGGAAGGTCTTGTCACAAGGAATACACATGTGAAACATGATAGCCCTTAGCCCAACCATTTAAAAATTATGGGCAAGGTTAAAGTTTTTGCGGACAAACAGACGGACGGACGGACGGACCAAAACAATATCCACCCCAAATCTTCGATTACGGGGACATAAAAATTATGGAGTTGTCATCCAAAAGAACAATAAATTTTACTGATATTATCATTTTAAGAATTAACCTAATTCATGATGAGTTGTAGGCAATCACAGGAAACATTACAGATTTTATTTTAGCACCAAACAGTCTGTGTCTAAGGAATAAGATTTCTGGGGGTACGGTTACATTGATATGTATACATTTACAGTGTATATACAGTTTATAAATATAGTTTACCCTAATTGCCGCAAGATATTATTTCCTAACCAAGAAAACATCATGTACACGACACAGATTTACACGGTAATTAAAAATCAACTTTTAAAATTCTTGTTGACAAAAAAATTAATTAAAATTTGATAGATATGTAGTATGTACAGATCACCTATTTCACACCATTGTTGACATATAAATAACTGAAAAGTCACGAGGTATATTTGGTTCACCTTAGCCGGCTGGTCAGATGTAAATTTCTCTTTCAAAACTGAGAGCTCCCGGACAAATATATAATTTTAGAGTTAAAAAGTTCTTATCATTTTTGCAGCCTCTGGCAGATCACACCTGTCCTAAAAAAGGCCAAACTTGATTAATATATTGGTTATTGTCAGTTATATAAGTTAACTTCTATATTTATCTATATAGCGATGATTCTTAGCTTATAATCAATATTGAATTCATGAATGTCAAAAATTAGCCTTAAAAAGTTAACATAATATGCCCAGAGAATTTACCCCCTCCCCCCCCCCCCCTTAAAATTAAAAGCAAATTTTGCTTCACAAATTTGTTAGTTTTGTACACTAATTAAATCAACCGTTCAAAAGTTATGGCCAAGGTTAAAGTTTTTCAAAAGTAGGTAAACTTCAAGGTCAAGGTTTCAGATGCATCTTCCGAGTGCAAAACAAATTAAAAATCTTGCTAGTGCTAATTATTTCAAAATACACCTAAAAATCTAACAATCATGAGTTGTTGTTTTTTTTATTTAAAGTCTTATTTTAAACTTATTTTACTTACATGTATCAGCAAAATACATTTCTGATTTATTCTTCTACAGGATATACAGAGGTGACGATAACATAACTAAGATCGTCATCATTTTACAATGATAAGGCATCTTTAAATATCCAAATAAAATGGTTCACAGTATTTCTCATTAAATTCCAAACTACATTAAATCAGCATTCGCCAATATTCATTTACACGTTGTGTTTTACATAACACTGTCTAAATGATATTCATGCATTTGAATTTGTATACGTTTAATTATTTAAGAAAAAAAAAGTTTATCACAACATAAATGCTCGAACAAAATATAGATACAAGTTTGTTGTTAAAATATTACACGCAAAATAATGTTGGCTTTCCCTAGGGTACCTATATAAATAGGAGTGCGTTGACCTCTCACCTTATATATGGGAGAATATTGTATTTTTCGCCAGAAGTTAAAAATGAATTTCTACGGTGTTGCCATTTTGCTGATTTTGCCATATTATGTTTATACTATACAGGTGCAAACAGGTAAGTCAATGATGAACACAAAAATAAGATTTCTTTTCCTTTTTTTTAAAGAAAGAACCTTATATTCAGTCTTAATATTGTAAAATCTAAAATGCCTAAATTCTGATTATTAAAAAAAAATGAATGCCTTTTATAGAAAAGAATGTATCTTTATTAAAACTATATTTTTGAAAAAGAGTCAAATAAATTTACTTAATTGCATAGTGGGTTCTCTGGACAAAGGGGCAGTGTTAACGCTACCAGTTATGTCTAAAACCTTAATAAAAACATTCATGTAATTAACTAATGATTTAATTTATCGTTTTTTCATGTACATCTTATCAAATTTTTTCTAGAAACTTTTCAACATATCATTTTGTCATTCAATTTGCTAACTGTTGTCAAAGAACTCTCTTATATACCAGTACCTGAATTTATAATAAATTATGTGTTTTCGGGAAGATTCCTAGGAATGTCGACCCTATACTACTTCCGGCCCGCACTCATTTCACTGCCGACATTCCCTCCTTCCCGTTCAACGACAATGATATCTTTTTTAGACCCAAACTACGTGGTCATATAATCACTGTTTTGTGTGACTGTGAATAATGTATTGACCATATCTTAGTTCTGAATCAAATATTTATTATAAATTAGTTAAAAGCTTCACCAAAAAAGTTTCACAAATGAAAACTGGAGAGTAACTAAGACTGGGGGAAATCTGTGTGTCTTCTCAATTAATTTATATATCTTCAATTCAGTGCAAAACACAAAAGGAGACAAGGATATTAGCAGACTGGTTGAATTGTTAAAAAGATACGAGAACTCACTCTCCAAACAAATAAAGACGGAGAAACAGGAGGAAAACGGCAAAGTCGTCAAAGATCTTCACGAAGACTTCGTAGACTCCACGGAAAAAAGCGTGGAACGGATCGAGAAAAATGGAAATAAGGAACAACTGGACGCTTGGGTAATTTTTATTAATTTTGGCAAATAATGAAATATGAAGTTGAAAAGCTGATCTAAAGGCAGCGACTTGCTGGCTATGAATAAAGTGAGAGGTTCTT